GCAACAACCTCAGCATCTGCCTGGGAACACAAAGGGAAGCACCCAGAGCCCAGGCCCTTCCTGCCCTGTGTCTCCCTAACGTCAGTGACCCAGGGGCCTGCCTGCCGGTCGGCCCTAGGGAAGGGTTTCGAATTTGAGCCCTCTCTGCTTGGATAACCAGGCCCAACCGTCAAGATGACATCATTTATTTGTGGAGAGGTCACGAAATGTGCTTTCGTAGGAGGGATGAATGTCCCGTAATCTGAGTGGCCAGCTGACTTCTAGTCCTCTGCTTCTACCCCCCACTCTGCCTGTCTATTCCAAGTGTACGGTCTGTGCCGGCCTCAGACTCCTATAGTTTCCTGGCCAGGAACCATCAGACCACACCTGCACGATGGCGGTGCCATCACCCAACCTGCACGCCTGAGAGAACTGAGCATCTTTCTCTGCTCCTCTCCTGGAGCTTTCTGCTGTCCGCTCCTTGGTGATCCTCCCTCTCTTCTGCTGCTGAGACAGGCTTGTGCCAGCTCGGCCCTGGCAGGCCCCCCAGCCCAGCGCCTGACTTTCTAGCAGCACTGCTTGCTTTTCATTGCAACCTGCTCCTTCACAAGGAAAGCGGGGGCGGGGCTGCACGAAGGCGGCGTGGATATGGGGGCCAGCTGAACTTCAAACAGGGGAGCCAGTTCCTCCTCCTACCCCATAGTCAATGATTATCTAAGCACCCCACTTCTGTTCTACAGGTTCAACTATCTCCAGGAAAACCCTGAAATATTTATCAACTTTGATACTTGGTAGAAGAAACATCATTGTCACCCTCTGATCTGGCTTTTGAGCAGTGTGTTCTCTCTTTAAAGCCCCTGGTACTTAGTACAAATTTTAGAATGCACCTCCTACCTTCCCTGGAAAATAGCATTGTGATTTTAATTAAAATTACATTGAGTCTACAGATGAATTTGACAAGAATATTTTGATAATGAATTTTCTTTTTTTTTTTTTTAATGTATTTGGTACAGGGTCTCACTACACAGCTCAGATTCATAGTGATCCTCCTGTTTTCAGCCTCCCCAGCGCTGGGATTACAGGCATGTGCCACCATGCCTGGTCTTGGTGGCCAGCTCTGTGTGCCCAGGGAGTGGGGCTGGCATGGCATGCGGTGCTAGGGATTGAACCCTGAGCCCTGTGCTTGCCTAAACAGGCATTTACTCTGCTGAGCTATCTCACCAGCTCAATCTTTTCAGTAAGTTTCATTAGGCTTTTCTCTGGAACGTTTTTTGGCAAAGATTTTTCTTGGTAGCTTTTCAATGGTTGCTCTAAGTAATCTCTCTTCAACTTAACTATAGTTACAGTCCTGTCTGTTGATATTCCATAGAATGTAGTGTGTACACAGAAATCTTGCCAGTAAGCACTACTAACTCTAATAATTTTTCTATGAATGCTACACATTTCTATGCAGACAGCTGTGCCATCTGTGGGGACAATCAAGGTTATGTATATCTAAATTCTGTATGTATTATGACCAAATAGAACGACCAGGCATCCTGTCCTATTTCTGGTATCATATTTACAACCATTTCAGTATGTTTTCACCAAGCAATTTGTTTGCTGTAATTTTTAACCAGATAAAGAGGTTCCTTCTATTTGAGGTTTGCTAATATTCATCATGAATATTTAATTTTATTGAAAACTTTTATCAGCAATAATCATCTAGTTTTCTCCTTTAACTGAATAATGATACTAGTATAGTGAATGACATCTGTAAAGTTGTAACGAATTCAACATTTCCAGATTTTGACTAATTTACTATTAGTATCTCTCACACTGTACTCAATATTCAAATAAACACTGGTATCTTTACTAAATATACAATTTGGTTAAAAGTGCTAACAAGTTAGAAGATTAGAGCTCTCAGAAGAAATTCAATAAATCAGGTCCAAGTATAGGTAATTGCTCTTATGGCACATGGCCAAGGCAGCATAAGCCATGTAAGTATAGATGTCACTATGGCAGTGTCGGCTCATTTTCCACAGAGCAACTCACTGAGTGTTCTGGGGAAAAAGCGACACCAAAATGCAGGTTGTAAGATTGTAACCGGTCATTAAATTCATTACATTTCTGTTGCACGAGCGGTTTTATGGCTTAAAAAATAGTTGAAACCCCTCATATTAGTTAAAATGGGACTGTAATTGTCAAGGCTTCCCTTTCTCCATGTAAATACGGATTCTTTATTTTTAAAAATCTTATAACCCAGGGTCAGGGATACAGCTCAGTGGAACAAGTGCTTGCCTGGCAAGCACAAAGTCCTAAATTTAGTTATTTCTGGTACAAAAGAAATCTTATAATCCATTTGCACTTTTATGTCTCCATTTGCTAAATTTACATGTATGTTCCAGGGGCCAACTGGTGGCACGGGGTGAGGAGTAAGCACAGGACTTTTGTGAGAACACTGTGTTAAGTAAATGAGTTTTCAGTCTTAAGAAAAACAGAACTCTGTGACAAGGGTGTGGACAAATTTCCCGTGAATTTCAAACAAATTTTATCACTTTGGATCTAAGCAACACCTATATCTTCCATCGTGACATATGTGTGATTTTCTAAAAATCGCCATAATTATTATCAATACAAACTATTCTTCATATCAATATAGTAACTGCCTACTATAAACACGGATTTCTTATAGTGCTATTTAGGGTACAGTCAACAGGATTTGGTAGCACTGAATACTTCAACTTTTTTCCTATTCTAAAGTTAAGCCCTTTAATTATGCATAGCATATAGACTAACAATAGAGAAATTTTATGGGGGGAAGGCTACTTCAAAAAAATAGAAAATTGTTTCACTAATCTATTAGGCTATTGACAGTATCCTATGTGCCCCTATTTTTATATGAGTAGCTGAGGACTGTGGTATTACATCTTATAGATTTAATAAGTTTCACTGTTTTAAAATCAGTTTAACTTTTCTAGTGAGGCTGTTGCAGGCAGCCTAAGTTAGATAGAAATATTGTAGGTAGTTAGACAGGGACAGGCCCTCGAAGGGGATGACAAAGACCAGACACCTTACTGGGGAGATGCTCCTGGTGTGAGCCAGACCTAAAGATCAAACAAATGCTGACCTCCCTAAAGTTGGCATCCAGGATTGCTCATTAGTCAGGAAGAATCACTGACTGAAGGCCACCAGATAAGGTCGCCCACTTGCTACGTGACTCGCTACCCCATTTGGTCCTAGGCCTAATAAATTTTATCTGGGCAATGGTGCTTGTAATCCCATTGGCTGACCATAGTTTTGTCCCACCCTGTATCTGCCTAAGTGGGACCCCTTTGTCTCTACCTTAGCCCCGCATGGTTTTGTCCTATAAAAATAACCTGAAGAAGACAGCTTCCAGGGCAACCTGCTCGGGACCCCCTTCTGTCCCTCTCCAACAGAAGCTTTCCTTTCCAACAAAGTTTTACCTTCAGCCTCAGTTTGTCACTAAAATTCATTCTTCAGTTTTAGAGAACACGACCTCATCCAGGCCAGGTTGGGAATTTCACGTCCCATATCAAGGTCACTACCTAGTTTCTTTTGTGTTCAGCCTTTAGTGGTTTTGTCCTGCCTTCCTGTTTTTGAACACTTGGAATTCTCACATCTGCACTATTCTGGGTGTGACCACAACAGAACACAAAATACCTAAACAGGATATAATTATGTCAAATGCAAACTACTTACTGCCCTGATGACAGTACCCAGACAGAAAGGCCATCTAGCTCTGAAAAGGGCAGAGAAATCCCTTCAAGCACAGTGCAAGGTGGCTGGCTGTTCTAAACAAGCACTCATCCTGGTAATTTAATAATCAAACACTTGTATGCTTCTCTGAGCTTTCCAAAGATGTCACCTGTGTTCTCACCAGACAGCATGACGTATGTGCTACGAAATCAATGATGCCTTCTCTTCAGAAACTGGCAAGCTCGCCAGGCTTACTATTTAGTCTGACTCCAAAGGAACTGACGGGCACTGACTGCAGAGGGAACACGGAGAGACACTCGCCCCTCATCATGCCTTTTGCAACAGCAAACTCCATCAAAGGACAGTGATTAACAAGCACATGTAGAGGACAACTTCAAGTCCAACAAAGGAATACTGCTTTTGTCTAATTAGTTCCTATACTTACTGATCATCTAAAAACAAATATAAACCAAGACATTTTTGTTAACAAAGGACAAGTACAAATAAATTAGAGAAGTGGTGTATATATTTTTCCCAGACTAAGATTTGAGACCAGTTGTGGTCACAATCATGGTGTTAATCTAAAAATATGAACCAAACAAATGCCTTGCAGAACTCCACCTTTAGAACTCCTTACCCCGAGAACGATTTCCACAAAGGCAAAGGGAGGTGTCCTTTCCTGGAAACGCTATAAAATCCCTCCCTCTGTGAGCACCAGCACGCGCATGGACCCTTGTGTCTGTATACTTGTGCTGAAACCAGAGAGCTGTGGTGTGTGTTACGTCGCTTTCACCAAGACAATGTCGGGACTCAGCACCAAGGGACGGAGCACGGTGACACTGTTAGACTGCATAAAATGCATGTGTGCAGCAAACCGTGGGTCCCAATAACAGCCTTTGTTTAAATTTAACTAAATTATGCCAACAGGCTGGCAATATTACCATTCATTCTTAATCAAACCAGCAAGAAGATCAAATGACTAGGAAGTGAAACAGCACTGGAGGCAGAGTCATAAAAGATGGATGAGGAAAAGGGGGCCTGGCGTCGGTTTCCATGGGCAGTCCTCGATAATAACCTTTCTCAAGGATCAGCGAACGGTTGCGTGTTCCCCTAAAACATGGCTGCTACACCAAAATCGGTGCTCTGTTCCTGTACTAAGAGGCTCCCCTAACTGGACAAAGGAACAAGTACCTCAGCCACTTCCCTTCTGAGGTCACAGAGCAGCATGGACACCCGACACAGAAGGCACGCTGCCCTATGAGAGCCCAAATTTACCTCACGGTCACAACAGCGATGGAAGCTGTTAAGGGCCAACTTACCGGTGCTTTTTGATGCCATTGGAGAGAGCATCTCCCCCACCACAATCCTTCCCTTCAGACATTCTGTGCTTTCTACTGCTCCCGTGCGCTTCTTCCTCTTCTTCAAAGCACTGGGCTGTCACTGCTTCCAGTCGACTCAGGGACTTTTCTGACTCGGAATCTGTGGAAGAGCAGGTTCATCATGAGTGTGCGGAGCTTTGGCGCAAGGCCCCCATAACAATGGGCATCTCCCGAGTGCATCAGGCTTTGAAACTTAAGCAGCCTTCTGTCCTTCAACGATTCATCCGTTAAACACCTCCTCAGGGATTTGAGAAAACCTGCACGCAGGAAGGCTCAAGTGGATTTACGAAACAGATGTATGCTTACATAAACCTACAATTAAACCAATTTTATGTACTGAAAGAGATCTCTAAAGATTGCCCAATTCTTTAAGAAATTAAATTTAGTGGCTCTCCTACCCCAAATTTCTATTATCTTCCCTCTCAAAGCATCTTAAGCATACAGAAAAGCAATCAAATTTATAAACTCATGTATAAATGGGAAGCGATAGCTTCCCATTTGACAAGCTTACACTTGTCAAATACTTAAACCACATCAAATATCATAGACACAAAAGTGAAGGTAATTTTAAAATACATTTAAAAATATTTTTTCCAGTATATTATTTAAGACATTAAGAGTTACAGCTCAAAGTGTCCATATATTAATTACCGGGAAGGAAGGCTTTCTTAGGATGGACATGCCATGCTCCCGCTGGCTAAGTATTCAGACTGGAGCCATCTGCCTGCTGGGGAACTGCAAGATGACTCACTTTTGGCAATCCATGATAGCTTTTAGGCACTCTGGGCACCTCAAGGATGCAGTAGTGTCTACGGCTAGACAAATGAAGCATCAACAAACGCGACGCTGGTCTCACAGTTTCTGAGCGGGAGAGCAGGGATCCGAGCCATGTTCCCAATCCTCGTTTAACACTATACTGTGGCTCAAAACAGCAGCCACTGAATCTCCACAAAACTTTAAATGATACCTTCATCTGTACTAAAACTAAAAATTTAAGAAAACCTGTAACTTCCCGCTGTGCCTATCCACTCACTTGTCCTCAGCTCTGCAGAAGATGTGGGCACTCGTTCGAGTAAACCTCTTTAAGCACATTCGTGCACAATCTGCTAAGCACGTATCAAGGCTGAACTTTCAGGAAACAAAATAGTTCAGAGCTCTCTCCCCCACCCCCGAGGCCTTCCTATTGTCACCTGTGGCTGGCTGAAAAGAACCACGGGGCCACAGTGGTGGCCAGTGTCAGGCTGGACAGAGTCACGGGAAGGACAGAGTCTCGGGCTGGACAGAGTCTCGGGCCGGACAGAGTCACGGGATGGACAGAGCAGTGCGACACACAATGTTGAGCCCTTTAAGTGACACAAGCTGCTAGCAGACAGACTTTCAGTGCTGAGAAAGTTCTTCTAATTTCCTGTGAATGTAAATTTAGTGGAATTTCTAAAATTATAGCTTTGTTCTGTTACATACCCTAAAGCAACACACAGTAGACCCCCTTTATTCAGCATTTTGCTTTCCTGAGGGCAACCACAGTCTAAAAACATTAAGTGAAAACTTCAGAAATAAACAATTTCTAAGCCTTAATTTGTACGTATGCTGAGGAGCATGATGAGATCTTGCGCCGTCCACGCTGTGCAGCTGGACGCAGGGCCCACGAGGCAGAGGGCTCAGTCTGTCTCATGGTTGAGGCACAGGGGCATCAAGAGATGGGGTGCAACAGTGAGTAGCGAGCATGAAAATGGTCTGGCAGACGTGCGAGGCTGCTCCGAGGAGCCCCAGGGCAAAACCCGAATCTCAGATGACCAAGGGTGGGTGGTGGTGAGGCAGGGCTGGGCTCATATCTGCACTTCAGAATCTCTTGTACATGAAAACAAATTAAGAATTTGTAGTCAAAACTACTTTTTACTAGAGACCATCATCTATGATGGACGCTTAGTTTATAATTTAGATGTTAAAAGAAACAAAATACCTCAGGTACATAGGAAACATTACTATGCCCAGGATATTTTCAATTTAAGAGATACAAATCATAATAAGGCAGGACTTGCCCACCTAAAGAAGCATTTTTTTTTTTTTTTTTAACAGAAAGCACATGCACTGCAAACACTGAAAAGGCACTAAGTGCTGCTATGGAACAGAAACTTTTCCCACAACACAATTCCATGCAGTGAATACACAACACCACCTTTCTGTGTCGGCCACTCACAGGCCATGGGACAGGTGTGCTCATCCCTGAATGACACCAGCAGACAGCACTGCAGATCGCTGTACTCTGCGGCTAGCAGCACCAGGCCCTTCCTTCGCCATGACCCCTCTCTTGTCCACCTCTTCCCTCTGCCCCCAGCCTAATCCTGTCTACGTACTCCCCAACCCTTTGTCCAGAGCACCCTCAGCCTTCCCTGCACGGCTTGGATGAGGGTCACTGATTGCCTCAGTATGCAAAGGCTAATGTCCATTTTTAAATTTTAATTTTGACTCATTTGCTCTGACTGACACTGCCTAATCTGCCCCACCCCCACCCCCCGTGTATTACGCACAAGCCAGGCTGCGTGCACCATCCAGCAGAGGTAGCCTGCTCCGGGCTTTCCAGGCACAGTAACAGTCACACAGCTGACTGCACATGACAAATAAAAATCGGACAGTGGGACAGAGTGGACATGAACTAGAACTAGGCAGGAGGTAGTAAATCACGCCTTAAGTTCGCATTTACTAGAGAGAAGTCGAACTCCGCATTTTGTAGACTCAAAAGCAGTGAAAGAAACATGATCAGTTACTTCACAGTAGTGTGAGATACAAACTGGTCCCTCCGAGAGCAGTTATTTCTAGTATTGCGCAAGGAGGTGTCTGATCTGTATAGTGAGGAACAGCGTGGAGATACCTGGTTGGTAATAAATAGGGTATTATTCCTAAGTGATCATAGCGTCTTAGCACCAGTCACATCAACCTGCCTGTTTCCACAATGGCACTGTCTCAAACTGAGACCTGAATTCACACATACCTGGCTAAACGCAAGAGGCCGCGAAGCCACGGCCGCTGCGACAGCGTACTGATGGTCAAAACCCATGACCCACAGAAATAGTTTTCAGGTCTTCTCTGAAGTTAAATCAGTGATAGGCCTCAGTGCCTTTAAGATAATTCCTTCTGTTTTAGGGGTTTGGTTTTGTTCTGTGTTGGTACTAGAAATCCAACCCAGGACCTTGAGCTTGGTAGTGCTGTGCCACTAAGCTACATCACCAGCCAGAGATAATTCAATCTTTTTTTTTTTTTTTTTTTTTTTTGTGGTACCGGGGATTGAACTCAGGACCCTGCGCTTGTCAGGTAGGCACTTATTCTGCTGAGCTATCTCCCCAGTCCTTTATATAATTCAATCTTGAAACTGTAGCTCCTTCAGTTTTGCCCACACATCTAAGCATCAAACAGGCCAGGCATTTTCTGCCAGCAGAATTACAGGGAGCACACTCATGCCTCACTGGGAAGCATCCAGTATCAGAAAGTGCCTCACGCCTCCCTGTGCTGGCTGCTGTGTGCTCTATGGGACTCACCACGCTCATGCCTCAAAAACAAGAGGGGAGCGAGCGACAGAGGTTTAGCATCTAGCGGTAAGAAGCTGCAGTTTGGGAATGCCGGATCCATTCTGCCGCTGCATGCTGTCACAGCTGGGATCTTAAATGTGCTCCCCAAACCCACACGTCTTGGTGCAGTGGAAATGTGAGCAGTGGCACCCAGTGGATGCCTCCCAGGTGCCGAGGTACCGTGGCCCCAGCCACCTCACCTCATTTCCTACACAGGAAGTGAGCGCTTTCGCTCCACGACAGGCTGCCGCCAGGATACGAGGCCCCACCACGGCCTCGCAATAACTGAACCAGCCCATCACAGATGCACCTCCAAACTGTGAGCCACAGAAAACCCTTCTTCCTCATTAGGAATCTCGGCGTTTTGTTACAATGGTCACAATCAGTGAGGATGACTGCACAACCCAAGCGTACTGAATCAAATGGTAGATTTTATGTTAAACATATTTTACTATAGCAAAAGCAAAACAACAAAAACCTTCCAAATTGAGCAAACAAAAGCCTGCTGGTCCAAAGCCAAAGATAGGTCACACCAGGTGCATCAACTACATTCCAGTCCTACTGTGTCTCATTTTAATGTCAATTAGAAAAGATGACCACAGAGATGCAAAATTGGTTAGTTTTTCTGCAGACTTTTTAAATGTAGCAACAGAAATTTATTCTCACAATCTTGGTTGGATTTCAGAACTTGGCTTTTTATTTAACTACCACTGGTTGCATTTTCCCTTCATAAAAATATTTTTCATAATAAAGCCACCCATAAATTTCAGGACACTTCACTGACCCTTGAAAAATATAGTGAAGATCTATGACCCAGCCCTACATTATTCATTGGACTTCTGATGGGCAGTTAGGAAAGCCCCCACAGTCCTGGTGACAGGAGACGGAAGACCTTACTTGTGGGCTTATTCCCATTTTGTTCAAAGAGGACTCTAGTGACTTGTGATAATTTCTGTGTGTTTTATGGGCAGAATATCAAAACAACACTTTGAAAAACTATTTTTATAAATGTTCTAGTTTACAGTGAAGCATTTAAGATAGAATCGCTGCCTGGTTAACTTTTCAATTAAAATAGCAGTATTAATAGAATAGGCAACAAAAATCCAAGGTGGTTTTAATGTGACAAGTTTTCAAGACCCAGATTTTTAAAGCTTCGGTCATATTAAAACCAGAGAATTATTTTTACCACATTTCAGGCTGAATACGGTCTCCTTTCTCATCAAAATAACATGGAAGCCAATGACTGTGATAGGGTTATTGTAATTCCAACTTTAGAATTAAGAGGATCTTTATTACCTTTTTTGAGTTAAGGAGCCTTTTTGATGCCAACTTATTAATTTTTCCTACCATTAAAAGGCTAAAAATAAAAAGAGGTAAGAAAGGTCACCATATAAACATCCCAATAATGTGTAGAAGTTATCCAGATAAGCGCTTTTTAAAACAACATGACCTTTGAAAACTGGCCAGAAAAGAAACAGTATACAGAAGCCAGATGTGGTAGAACTGGGTATAATGTGCAAATCATTCTTCCTCCTTT